ATTGTTCCCCCGTTGGGATGACGAACTTAATCGAACCCAGTTTGTTGCCAGGTTGTTAAGGTTGCATCAGATTGTGAGGTAGAAAATATATCTGAAGGAGCATTTGCAAAAACAGATAATGCAACAACGTTCTGTACTAACAAGAAAGAAAGCATAACTGCGATGTTTTCGGGTGGACTCCAACACTGAGAGTTTTCGATGCCGCCGTCAATATTTAGTATTATAGCGAGTATACCGAGTTTCAGCGCCGATGTAGTACAGGTGCATAAAAAAATGCATTTCTTACTTTACACCGACACTACGGTAATGTAAGATACCGGAATATTGCGTCGTCCCTTTGCTTCTAGTCGCTTAACAGGACAATTTAAGCAGTTTAATAGTATTTATGCACCTGAAATGCATTGGACTTAAGACAGCGTCTCTTAAATGGGTTGAACAAAGCATGTTCAACCACTGCGCATAGACGAAGACCAACAGGAAGAAAAGATAATCCCCTTGTGCTGAGGTGGACTTCATGGGAAGCGCTGTCGACATCGTCGCCAATATATAATATTAAAATTGATGATACCAGACTTGAACGTCGAAAACATGCAGTGCAAAGAAAGAAAAATTCATTTCTTGCTTTACACCGAAGGTTATGTACTGGAGCGTTTATAGTTCATGAGTGCCCCGATACATAGTTTTGCATTATTCATTTCTCCAAGTGCTCTACCTTACAAGACATATTTGCCGTTATGGCAGATGACAACTGTATCCATCGCTTCTTCAAAAAAAAGAATTATTTTCTTATTTAATCTATGGTTTCGTTCTTATTGATGTTCTCAACAGTAATAACAATTTTGTTAACACTTTCGTAGCAGGCGTTTACGAGTGAAGGCGCACAGGCACTCCTTCCTGTGCTACTCAGGTCGTTGATTCATCCCACGATGTACATGCGGATTATTGCTATATATTAGATAAAGTATGCTTCCGACTACGCATGAATAAACATCACTAACTCAGTCGCGTAGCTAAAGTTTAGGCCAGGTTCAATCCTGACGTGATGAACTTCTTCTAAGCCATGTGGGTACCCATTTTTTTCCGTAGGCAAAATTAGAATAGCATGCACCTAATATAGTAGAATTTATTGAATCGTTTTGCGGAGGGAAAGCCATTTTTTAATCTTATTAACAACGCAACAGGCTAATCATGCTTAAGGCAGCTTTTGTCATTCAGGCATGAAAATAATTAATCAGTTAATAGAGCAAGTTTCTTTTGGGTCGAGTAGGTTTTCGTTGGGTGTATGCTGCTCTACAATACAAATGGCTCGAAAAATGGGTTGGCGTGATGAACACGTTATCTTGTTTGATATTGTGTGCGATTCCGGCAAGTATTTGAGTCCTTACACCGATTTTTTGGTTTTCAGTTCTATCATGGAAAGGCATCAGTGTCTTTCCCGTGTAATTACGAGGAATGGGATATCATTCTTGCAAAAGAATTGTATACTTATCTGACCCGACATTTCTTTCGTTGAAAATTCATAGCATTTACATTTAAAGCATAAAAATAAAATAAAGCAGCGTTTATTTCCACAATACAATATAATGACTACGTTTGCCGACTCTAAGTAACGAAAACTTTCTGCCCACATTTATTACTTCCGGTGACAATTTGGCCATCGGATCCTTAAGTCTAAAATTGTTCACAGAAAAGCCTCCACTTCTGATTACCGCTTCGGCCTCCTCGACGGTGTCGAAGCAACCGGCTGAGAGAGCGAGTTCCTCAACGGTCATATGCGGTTTCGGTGTCAGGTCGGCATGTGGCAGTTGGTCGATGACCGTTTGTCTTTCGAGGTCGTCCATTTCGAACAGGTGATCGTGCGGCTTTTCGAACAACACCTCGGTAGTTCTTAAGGCCTTCTGTAGCCCTGAGGCACCGTGTACCAATACAGTCAGCTGCCTAGCCAGTTTCAATTGGGCGAGGCGCCGCTCCGGATACCGCGAATGCTCCTTTACTATATTTTCCACTTCTGGTTGAGAAAAGAACGAGAGCAGCTCGAGGCTGCGTCTGACTTCAGCATCGGGCATGCGAAGGAAATGCTGGAAGAACGCGTATGGAGTGCACAGCTTCCGGTCAAGCCATATCGAAACTTCGCCACTGCTCTTGCCCATCTTGTGACCACTGTCTGATACAAGCAACGGTACCAACAGACCGTACGCCTGTCGGCCGCACGCATGCCTGATCAGGTCTCGTCCCGAGTGAATATTGCCCAGCTGATCGTTGCCACCCAGCTGCAGCAGACATGACCTCGTTCGATACAGGTGCAACCAATCGTATGCCTGCAACACCTGGTAGCTAAAAGCACATGCATTTAACAAAACGCCCAAAAATAACTTTTTGCGAACTTATTGGTCTCAACGTAACATACAGCGCATTAATTAAATTCTAGTTAATTCAGATATTACAATAACAGAAGTACATAATGACAGTAATCAATTTGTCACAAGGAGTTCGAAACAGAAAATTTGAGGACATAAACGGAAAGTACCGCTACCCAACCGATTTGTGGTAATGAAGAAAGAACGGGACCTTAACGCAAAACCAACTTTAACATGTCTGTCTACACCCATTTTCACCTCTGGTCTTGCGCACTGGACAGTGAAGAATGCAATAGAATGCGGTACAAAACCTTAACGATGATTCACGGACCTGAACTCGCCATAGGACATGCCGGCGTGCGCCATTCTGTTCGAAACGCACTGCTTGCTCATCATGTGTCTCAGTCGGAACGCCCTGCCGACGCAGTCGAAGTATTCGAGCACATTTATCCGTTGGAACCAGGACTCGTTGTTTTCAATGATCACCGGGTTTAAAGGCCTCTTCCTTGGTTCGCCGTCCGCCGCAACCTCAAGTTCTACTTCGCTGTCGAAGTGACCACAGATCGCCGTCAACTGGTTCGTGATCGACCGGCTGTTATAGAGCAGTTGGTCGTCGCTAAGAATCAGTCGGTCCTCGTTGCGACCGGTCGGGTCTCCAAGCTTCGCCGTACCCCCGCCGACCACGAAGATGACGTCGAAGCCGGCTGCCCGCAGATGCAGCATGGCACATATGACTACCAGATGGCCGAGGTGTAGGCTTTCAGCCGTTGGATCGAAGCCGGCATAGACGGTCGCCGGAAGGTTTGCCAAAAGTGGAAAACCCTTGGCAAGCAGATCATCGGGAAACGAGCCGGT